ACTGGCTTCCTTCCATTTCCTCAAACACATCACAAACTCCCACCCCCAGACCTTGGTCTACGCTCTTCCTCCTGCTTGGAAGGCGCTTCCTCTAGATTTCCAAATAGTCTACACCCTGCTTTCGGGTCTTTTCACATGTCGCCTTCTCAGTGAGATATGCCCCAAACGCTACTTAAAACTGTAGTCTTTCCCTCTCAACATACACATATAATCCTTACTTTATTGTCCCTTAAGGATTTACCGCGATTTGGCATGTGATGTATTTTATTTACTTGTGTTTTATGTCTCCTCCACCAAAGGGAAAGTTCCACAAATGCAGGGATATTTTCTGTTTGTTCACTAGAGTACCTAAAACAGTAGATTTCAAACACAGATTTGTTAAATAAATTAATATTTTAACTCTTTCTTGGAGATCACACATATTGTCTGTTATCGATTTAAAGATAATCACATGTGAATTTCAGGGAATCGACAGTATTTTCTAGATAGTAGTATCTTCCCTCAGAAATGGAGCCAGTTACACAAACTCCCAAATGGGACACTCTTCAGACCTTCTCTGCACAACCATGAGTGCTGAACAAAGGGGACATACAGTATATTTACTCCACCTTAATCCTCACCTTCCTGAGTTTATTTTTCTAGTTTAGGCTCTCTTAATCCTGGTTTCTCATCATTTTCCCTGGCTTATCCTATTGTAATCCTAATACTCTTTGGCCAGCTCACACTCATTATTCTTTACTCCAAATTTGGTAGAAGCTAAACAAAGAAAAACATCACTAATAGCATGAGACAAAAGGTGATAAGAATCTTCCTGCCTCCAAAAAGCCAGGAGAGTTATATATAGACCTTGAGTCGGAAAAGGCCGGAAAGGGGGATAGTACTATCGAGACACAAATCATAAAACAATTCCTTAGCCTTCTCTTTCTTTCCCTGTGTTTTCCTGTTGACCCAGCGTGCTTCCACCCGGCTGGCTGCAAGGAGTCTCCACTGCTAGATCCCAGTTCTTCCCCACACCCCACCCTCTCCCCAGGTGCTCAGGCAATCAAGCCCATGTGAGTTCCGGGGCCAATACCCGCAGAGACAGGGTTTCTAGAAAGAAACTTGACCACTACCCAACCTTTCTCCCTATGAATCCCTCCACTCCTTGAGGTTTGGAATAAACCTGAGGTCTGCTGGGTCAGCCAGACTGCTGAGCCCCTGGACCGAACCCTCAGATCTTAACCAAACCGGAAACAGAGAGCACTGGGAGGAGCTGGATGCCACACTTCTTCATGTTACCACGCTGCAGGACAACTCTATCTGCTCCACAGCCATGTGGATGGCTCCCATCCTCAGTTCTAAACAGCAGCCTAGGTCTGCCGTCTCTGCTTCAAAGCAGGAACTCTACAAATGCATCGGGGATGTTCGATCCCTAGCCCCACTCTGGCCAATCCCCTTCCCCAGGGTGTGAGACCTGCCATCATCTACCTAGTCTATGCCTGGGGTCCATGCCCCAAAATGACGGTCACCAACCACCTGCTTCCACAGATCTGGCCATCCCACCCTTTCCTTGACCAGATCCCTTGAACTGACTGCTCTGCAAACTATAATGTGATTAATTATACTTTACTGACACAAAGAAACAATGTTAAAGGGAATAATGTTAGTGGAAGAAACAGTGTGGTACCATATAACTTAAATGGACACAGTGCTATATGTCAATTAAATCTCCATAAAACTGGGGAAAAAACAGCATGCGAAACGTTCAGGATAAAATGTTAAGTTAATAAAGCAGGTTATAAAACTGATTTTCATTGTGCCTACACAAAAAACTGACCCGACTGAGATGGTTTCTCAGCCCAGCAAGGTCAGCGAGTTCCTCTCTGCACGGTCAGCGTTTAGCCAGGTCCCTCTCACCTCACACAGCCACCTCAGTGCAGTGGGTCCAGGTCTAGTCTCGACATGTTCCCAGGTTCTCAGCGTAGCAAACACCCACACACAGCATGTGTCCACATCTCCATTCATCCCTTCCCATTTCAGCATGGTCTGGCTGACCTCCCCCGGTCTGCAAGGTGGGGTGGGAGGTGGTCGGGAGCAGCACGCGCCGGCGGCGGGTCATCAGTGGCCACCTCTGAAGCGAGCAGAGACGAGCCAGAGTGGACGCTGCTGAGTACAGGGGGGCTGCTGGCTCCAGGCCACACGGGCTTCACAACAGCATTTGTCTACCCATCGTGTCCTGTCCTTTACACAGACTCTCTGGCAACACAGGGTCTGCCTGACTAGGCCCTTCGCAGACACCTGGGCTGCGAAAGGAAACCTTTAATGTGCTTATCATGCCGGTAACCAAGGCTCCTCGACCAGCAATGCTCTCTTAGGCCTTGTTTCAGAGAAAAGAGAAACAGAAATTCTGAAGGAAACAAATGAATAATAATAGGCATTTTTGTTCTCCCTGCTGGCCAAACTATATAAATATACTCCGTTGTATAAAAACACTAGGCTCTTGATCCTTCTAAAATCTGAACTATTTGAGGAGAAGGCCTGAGTGAACATGGTCTACGCCTTGCTTTATTTCAGTTCAGCTCAGCAAAATGCCAGATGGAAAATAGAACAGTTTACAGCTTCTTTTACTCTTCTCCGTCTTCTCCCTGTTTTCAATTTTGCTTTGCTGTTGGGTTCTCTCTGCTCCCAGGTTCATACTATCCTGTTTCTGATTTTAGATTTGGGGTTGGATCGACTTACCTGATTTTGTCCTGGCATTTGTCCAATCCGCCTGCCTGCACGACCCGAGTGACCCATTTCCACTGATGCTGTAACAATAATACCTACAGAAAGGGCTGCCCTTAAATAGCACGCCTGATCCCCTCGAGTACCTGACTCCCAAGGCACCTTGTACATGTCCCATTTGTTTACCATGGAGACAGCAGTTTGGGAAATACATGTTTACCGTGGAACTGGGAGTGTCCAGGCTCTGCTGATGCCGAGGAGAAAACAGCAGCAGCCACGCACACGCCACACAGGGACGTGGCATGCAGTGAGCATCCGATGTGTGAAAATCTATAAAGCCCGAGAAGAGTCACAGCCTCCTTCCTGAACACGGTGCGAACACACAATTAGAGAAAGAGAACAGCCAGGCTGCAGACATCGGGACCAACACACACAGAAGGAAACTGCTTAACCAGTTCAGCTCCACTAATTGTGGTCTAGAGAAATGACTCTGAATAGTCTTAAGTGAAAAATAAAAATATGAGGCTTGAGCCTAAAAATCTTTTAGCTTGGAGGTTCTCAGGCTCATTGTTAACACAAGTCACGATAAGTATATTCTGGGACCCCCGAGCTCCACCCTGGTCATGCGAGCTTGGACTGGCCAGTCCTCACACCTTGAAAAGGGACCTGTGGTCCTCACACCTTGAAAAGGGACCTGTGGTAGTTAAGAAGTTATCACTGAAGGTAGAAGAGGGTTACCAGTGTAATTACCAGTGTGGACCCTCTGTGGCAAAGACAACACGAAGGTATGCCAATCTCAAACGTCATAATATTCCAAGATCTGTTCTTGAGAAAAATACTTCTATTTTCATGCAGGGAATTGGTGTGAACTGCGCGGGTTTACCAAGCACACCACCACCTTACCGCACAGAGACCTTTTCAGATTAGATATGTTGCTGACAGGTTATCAGAACAAAGCAGTTAGAAAATAACAAAACCACAAAGGGCCACCTCCACGAGTCTGTACCAGCATCATACTCCAATATAAGTGTCGGTGCCGATCCTGCTTCGGGGCTCTAACGCAGACATTAGAAATACCGCAGAACTGCTCTGCAATTTTAAGATACAGGAATATCGGTGAGCAGTCACAATTTCCCTCACTGAAAACCTCATTGAATATAATAGGGAAGTCATCGAATACTACGTCCTTCTATTATAGCCAAGTGATTTTCACAGCAGGCAATCTGCTGGTACCCTACAGGAGTCCACACTCTGAAATAGAACGGCACTGTGGATACGGTTTTATGTGCGTTCTCTTTTCAGTCCAGAGCTCTGCCTCGTTTCCTTCCTCTTGGCTGAATCCAGTGGGCAATCCATAAAGAGTGAGTTGAGAAGAGGAAAATCACATAATGAGTTCTTTTTTTGGTTTTTATCAATAATACAATAGTGCTCTGCCAATTGCCGGAGTGGCGACTGTATATTACACTTTAAAAATAAATTAAAAAAAAAAATCTTAGCATTGCTAAAGTGCTCGACGAGCCATTTGCAGCAGGGGGCAAAAATCAGTACATGTAGGTGGATCTTGGAATGCTTTTCCTACGCATCTGGTGAAATGATACAGTACAGGAGTCAGAGAGACACTTCTGCCCATCCCTCTCTTCAGATAAATCTAATATAAAACCTATTTAGTGAGGACATTCTGCATAAAGCATCCTATGTGCTTAACTATCTTTTAACAAGGCATTAATAAAATCACAGTAGCATCTAATAAGATTTCTAATTCCTTAAGGGTACAGACCATGGCTAACCTTTAATGAATCTAATTTAGTGAAAGCATTTAGTTCCCCTCTTGGTAGGAATAACCAGTACAATATTCCTAGCCCTGCAAGATGCATCTATATAGGTTGTATTTATTGAAGGTTTGGGAATCAAACTGGTTAATGGACCTGTACATGCTCAGTAAAGACTGGTTTCTTGGGCTACAAACAGAACCCAAGGGTATCAGAGAATGATGGGGGGGGGGGGGCTTCAGGAACATGGCGCTATTTTATACTGCAGAATGAGTTCCCATTTACAATTACAAGTGGCATGAAGAACATGCCTTCAGAGCAGAGCATGATACCAAGACACTACAGTTCTATAAAACCTGTTCCCCAAAGAACCAGAGCTCTGAACACACAGCACTGCCAGGGGGGCCTGTGTCAGATGATGAGCCACTGCAGACAAAATCCATTTTAAAAAACCCACACCTTTTCCTCCACGGTGTAAGAAATCTCTGGCTAACCATTACAAATATAAGACAGAGCGGTAATACTCACAAACTGTGGGGACCGTAAATCTTGCTGACTTTCCAGAGTTCCAAAACTGGAGAGAACCATCTGATCAAAGTTTTCCAATGCTAAAAACAAACAAACACAGAAATAAATGAAGCATAACGTTTCATTGGCTCACTTACTTTTTTGCTTGTAAATCAGCAGCACTGGCTTACCAACAACTACATTTAGCATTTGTGGCACACTTATAGGTTTACATCATTTATCAGGGAAACTCAAAATCTTCAGCAGCTGCTTCATCTATTGGACCATGCCATGCTGGGAGGATATTTTGCATAGGGTAGACCTACCACAGAAAATCTTGTTAACTTCTATATAGGACACAGCACTACATGTTATAACACTAGCTAAAAAACACTTTTGTCTACCGATGTTCTTTTTCTACTATGTCTCAGAGAACTAATGTGAAGTCATTCTGGAGGAGCAATTTTGTTTTAAAATCTGCTAAATAGCACCATTTGGTAGAAATATACTGGAAGACAAAATTTTCTATAAGATAAATTAAGAAAATAAAAAACAAAATTAATTTTAGTAATGTGACCTATTGAAAGTATATGTTCAGATTATCACTTGAGTATGTATTCAATATAAAAATTATTAGCGGACTATTTTACTTTTCTTTGGTACTAAGTCTTAGAACTCCAATGTGCATGTTAGACTCACAATACATCGCAATTTGGACTAACCACATTTCAAAAGCTCAGTAGCCATGTGTGAGTGGCTGCTATAGTGGATAGCTCAGTGTTAAGGTGGATGGAGGGACCAAACCCAGGCGAGCCATTGCGTAAGATACTACTCTCATCAACAAGTTCCTGACGTGCATAAAAGGTTTTTTCCAGATTAAAAGATAGGGAGAGAACAAAACAACCATTTGCAGGGTGCTTTTGCCAATGGAAAGTCCAGGTTGTCACCTGTGCTTTTATTTTTGATCCTCACCTGAGGATATTTTTACATTTATCTTCAGACAGAGTATGTGTGTGGGGGTGGGTGGGGGGAAGAGAAACATCAAAGTGAGAGAGACACATTGATTGGTTGCCACCTGCACAGCCCCAGTGGGGATGAACGCAACCGAGGTATGTGCCCTTGGCCGTAACTGAACCGGGACTCTTCGGTCTAAAGGCTGACTGCTCTAACCACTGAGCAAAACAGGCCAGCGCTGTCACCTGTGGTTTGATTGGCTATAAATTGGAGGTTCCCACCACCTTCTCGTTTTGATTGGCTATAAATTGGAGGTTCCCACCACCTTCTCCCCTAGAGGGGTTCACAGAGTCATAAAAACATTTACTCACATTTATCAGTTCATTATAAAGTGTATGAAGGAACTCACAACATGACGTGCATGTAGATTTCTTTGAGCTAAAGGCAATTGAGACCCGGAGGGCTCAAGAGAAACTTTTATCTCTCCCTTAAAGAATTTAAATTGCACCCAGCTGGTGTGGCTCTGTGGTTGAGCATCATCTCATGAACCAAGAGTATGCTGGTTCAACTCCTGGTCAGAGCACATGTCCAGGTTGTGGGTTCAACCCCCAGAGGGGGGAACGCAGGAGACAGCCAATCGATGTTTCCATTTCTTCCTCTCTCTCAAATCAATAAAGAAAAAAAAAATTTTAATTGTGGGCCTTGCCCCTAATAAGAGCTATCACCAGAAATAAATCATTATGGTCTATCTTTGTGGCCGGGTAAATATCTAATCGCTGAACACCTGCTCTTCTCATAACGCCATGAACGCCTCCTCCCCCTGATGCTCCAAGCCCCATCCTATTCCTTGGCTCAATATGACAAGTCCTGTGGGACTGAGCCCTTCACTATGGATCTGATGCTCTCTTCACATCATGTTGGAATAGAGTCAACCTTGTTATACTTATACCTTAGGTTACCTTTCTATCTTTGAACCTCTCATGTGTGGGGGGTTCCGGTATGCACAAACTTACATTTGTTCTTTTCCTATGATTCTGTTTAATACTGATTTGATTATTAGACAAACCAAAAAAACCTTTGTATAGTGCAAGAAAAATTATTCCTCCCCAACAAGGTATTATCAGGACACAGACAAAGCCAGATGAAGAGGCACCTGGCACTATGTGGGCAGAGGGGCAAAGTTGCCTCGGCCTCTCCAGCGCACCACTCCCCGCATCTCCCCATGCTGGCCAGCCTGACGCTCTCCGAACTCTGTCCTTGGGTTTTTATGGAAGCTTCATCACATGAGCATGACTGATTGTCACCAGACACTGGCAAATGATTTAACCTCACCCAGGTCGGCGGGGTGGGGTGGGAGTGGGGGGCTGTAAGTTTCAACCCTCTAATCACCTGGTGGATTCTTCTGGCAACCAGTCCCCAGATTTGGTTACCTAGGACAGCGGTTCTCAACCTGTCGATCGTGACCCCTTTGGGGGTCGAACGACCCTTTCACAGGGGTCGCCTAAGACCATCGAAAAACACATACAGTGATACCTCGGTTCTCGAACATAATTCGTTCCAGGAGGACGGTCGAGAACCAAATTGTTCGAGAACCGAAGCAATGAAACTCAATAGGAAATAATGGAAACTGGATTAATTCGTTCCAAGCCCCAGAAAATGCCTATTTACTGGCCTAATTTGTATATAATATGTAGAAAAACATAAGTCTCAACAAGAAATAAAAGTGTACAGTATGTCTAAGGGTTAAATTCAGTGTAAAGCGTGACTCTCTCCACAAAGCGTGACTCTCTCTCTGCACTCACACTGAGGACACAAGCAAGGCGCGCTGGGCCGAATGAACGCCATTCGGCTCAACTCGGCTCATCTCGGAAGTTCGAGTTCCAAATATTTGTTCGGATTCCAAGACAAAAGTTTCTCGAATCTCCTGGTCGAATACTGATTTGGTCGAAAGTCAAGGCCTTCGAGAACCGAGGTATCACTGTATTTCTTGTTGAGACTTATGTTTTTCTACATATTATATACAAATTAGGCCAGTAAATAGGCATTTTCTGGGGCTTGGAACGAATTAATCCAGTTTCCATTATTTCCCATTGGGTTTCATTGCTTCGGTTCTCGAACAATTTGGTTCTCGACCGTCCTCCTGGAACGAATTATGTTCGAGAACCGAGGTATCACTGTATTTCCAATGGTCTTAGGAACTGAGACACCGCTCCTCTATCCGTCTCCAGGCGGGTCCGCCCACATGCAGATGCGCCCACATACAACATGAGGAGCTGTATTAAAGGGTTGGGGCATTAGGAAGGTTGAGAACCACTGACCTAGGGGCTTTCCAAAAGTCACTTCATTAACATAAAAGGCACATTTCACTCTTATCCCTGAGGAAACGCCTAGGGTTTTAGCTCTATATTTCTCATTATAAATCCCAATACCAAAACAGTCATTAATGATATGTGTCACCTAGCTGGATCCTAACAGGGACAGACCAGCTGTGATGAACATGTTTACCCAAACCAGGAAGACTGAGCATAGAATAGCATTAACTTACATTAAGAAATTACTTTTAATTTTATGACATATATTATTTTGGCTTTGTAGTGACTTTATTTTTAATTCAAACTAATTTAGAAAAAGCCCATTAAAAGGTTTGTAAAGAAAAAGGCTGGGTTCCTATGAACCCAGAAAAATTCCCTCCAGTGGTCCAAAAGGAAACTGGACATCTACAGGATAGATTCACAAGAACAACAAAATCAAAATACCAGCCAACAGCTCAGCGACCAAATTCTTAGGTTTGGCACAGCACTAAGAAACCCCCCAATACCTGGCTTAGATTTTAGGTTCACTCGGAGTCTTGTCCACTCAACTCAGACAACTGACAACACAAACAAGTGATTCTAACTCTATCGAAAAACTGAGTTCATCACAGGATCCGTACATGTGAACCAAAGCAGAAACAGGAAACAGATGAGGTGAACCAAAGCCGGAACTGAGGGGTGGGCCTCTGAGAACTCCAGGGGGGCGACCGGTCGCTGCAGCCTGCCACACCTAGAATGTAAGAGCTGGTCATTCCAACCCCAGAGCAACAGCTGTCCAAGATAACTGCATTCTTGCAGCTCACCCTTCAAACTTGCTAACGTGTTTATACCAGTCAGTAGCTGTGAAGGTATGTTTAAATTGGTATTTTGCAGCTTGGTTTGCATTACAAATAAAAGACCTAACCAGTTTATAGCACTTAGATATTGAAAAGAATTTTATCTGTGGTGTTTATGATACTTTTTCTTTTTATTTTGGCAGAACTAGCAAGTCAACGAAACAATAGTACAATACTGCAGATAATTTCTTATTTTCTTATCATATTTTTATCTTTATTGTTGTGCTACAGATTTCCTCCTTTTAAAAAAATATTATAAATCTGATGGAGTGACCTGACTTTTGCATTTTATCTTTATATCATTTTTTAGATTCCAAATTTATCTATTATGTATCTGGAGTCAGTAGATGGGACAAAGCTGCCATTTTTTGTTTTTTAATGACAGGACAAGCTTAAAAATGTATACATTTTGCCTAAAGACAGAGTCGAGAAACAAGATGTATTACCCAGATAATTTATCAAATTAAATGCATAGATGCAGCTTGAAAGGATTTGTGAGAGAAAGTATAAAACTATTTATAGTGTTGGTTTTCTGCTGGTAATGGGAACTAATACCCTCACTGCTTAATGTCAACACAAAAGAGAAACTGTAAATTTGAGTGAATAAAAACAGAAACAGCTTTACTGAAACAGCATCTAGGTAGAAAAAAGCTGCAGCTGTTGCTCTCATGACCTAATATAGTACTGAGAAGCAAATGATTTATGAAGCTAATATGATAATTATACTTCCACTACTGATGGGCTCCAGTTACTGTTGGATATTCTTGATTCTGGTAATCTAATACAGCTGAAAAGTCCCTTTCTCGGCAGAAATAAACTAGTCAAAATCAAGGTGACACTTTTAGGGCTTTTTATTAAAATAGGGATAGAATCAAGGGGGTGGATCCCCCAACATTTTTCAAAATTTATTTTTGTTACAGATGTTTCTCCTTTTTTCCCCCTACACACCCTCCTCCCCATCCTGCCCCCCGATCCCCAGCACTGTTGTCTATGTCCATT